ACGGTAAGTTTCATGAAGGCAGGGACCGTGGTCTGTCATTGGAGGTGCCCAATAAACATTTGTTCAGATTAAACTGAAAAGCTCTTCCCCTCACCCAGCCTTCCTTCTTTCTCTTTTCTTTGAGTATAGTTGACACACTACCTTACATTAGTTTCAGGCGTACAACTTAGTGATTTGACAGGTTTATATGTTATGCTATGTTCACTATAAGCATAGCTACCATCTGTCCCCTTACATCACTATTACAATATCACTGACTGCATTCCTATGCTCTGCTTTTTATTCCTGTGACTTACTCCATAATTGGAGGCCTGTATCTCTCTTTCCCCTTCACCCATTTTGCTCACTCCCTCTCCCCTCCCCTCTGTCAGTCATCAGTTTGTTCTCTATAGTTATCATTCTGATTCTGCTTTTTGTTTGTACATTTTTTTAGATTCCATTTATGAGTGGAATCTTATGGTATTTGTCTTTCTCAGTCTGATTTATTTCACTTAGCTAATACCCTCTAGGTCTATCCATGTTGCTTCAAACGTATGATCTCATCCTTTTCTATGGCTGTATAATATTCCATTGTGTATATATGCCACATTTTCTTTATCCATTCATTTACTGATGGACATTTAGGTTACTCCTGTGCCTTGGCTATTGTAAATAATGCTTGCAATACACATAGGTAAGGATATACAATGGGGAAAAGACAGTCTTTTCAATAAATGGTGCCAGGAAAACTGGAGAGCTACATGTAAAAAAATAAAACTGGACTACATTTTTTTTTTTTTGAGAGCGAGAGAGAGAGTCGGGGGGAAGAGTAGGGGGCAGAGGAAGAGAGAGAATCTTAAGCAGGCTTCATGCCCAGTGCAGAGCCCAACACGGGGCTTGATCTCACAACCCTGAGATCATGATCTAAGCCAAAATCAAGAGTCGGATGCTTAACCGACTGAGCCACCCAGGTGCCCCCAAACTGGACTACTTTCTAACAGCATATACAAAAATGAATTCAAAATGGATTAAAGACCTAAATGTGAGACCTGAAACCATAAAAATCCTAGAAGAGAACACAGGCAGGCAGTAATTTCTCTGACATCAGCCGTAGCAACATATTTCTAGACACATCTCCTAAGGCAAGGGAAACAAAAGCAAAAATAAACTAGTGGGACTACATCAAAATAAAAAGCTTTTGCAGAACAAAGGAAACCATCAGTGAAACAAAAAGACAACCTACTAAATAGGAGAGGATACTTGCAAATGCTCTATCTGATAAAAAGTTAATACCTAAAGTATATAAGGAACTTATGTAACTCAACACCAAAAAACCAAATTATCCAATTTTTAAAAACGGGCAAAGCACTTAAATAGACACTCTTCCAAAGAAGACATACAGATGGCCAACAGACACATGAAAAGATGCTCAACATCACTGATCAAGCCTTCTTTCAAAAATTGTCTCCACAGTCCTCTCTCTGCTGTTTTTCCTGATCTGCTCCAACTCCCCCCACAGTCAGAATTGAGCTCTGCCTTCCATGAGCCACAGCCCCTACCCCATAAAGACTTCTAACTTAGCACTTGGGATCCTTTAGTCTATGTTGCTTACAAACTAGCTCCTCCTACCAAACTATGAGCCTCTCCTTTTGGCCTTTAATCTCTGTACTTCCTATTAGTAATATTTGGCAAATTAATGAAGTTGATTTTGTTTTCACTTAAGCTTACTTCCCAATGTTTTTGCCCAAACTTCCTTGTGGCTTTAATGAAATCTCCTTAAGACTCTTCAATTTCTCCAGAGTAGAAAAATATCATAATTTAATTTCATACACTATGGACTATGCACAACGTAGGATTCAGAGGAAAAAATGTTTATCAAGAGTCTGAATGAAATCCTCAGAGAGAAGGCAAAACATGCCTTGATGAACTGTCCACTGCATTCGGACCCAGGGCTTGGCACTGAGGTCTTAGCTCCAACTTAAACAATCATCCTGGGCATGCCAGTCACCCAGCCTTTTTGCCTCCCAGTTCTATCATTTATAAACTGAACAAAAGACATGCTTTGTGATCGACAGTAAGTCTTGACAGCAAGTAGGATGCTACTTAATGAATTAAACAGCATCTTTGAAATTCATTTAAAAAAAATGAAATCAGACAGCCTCTTGATAGAAAGAGGTGTCAGGAAAAGAGATGGTTACACTTTACAAAATACACAAAGGGAAGTAAGTATTCTTGACAAACTCTGCCCAGGCCATTGTGCCACTCACACAGTAGGCCTTCAGGGAATATTTCCTGGGCGAAAGAAACAAAACAATCTGTAAGTATTTCATTTAAATTGGCAGGCATGAGAAGCACCAATCTGCTCCCACAGAGAACCATCAGTGACTCATGCATTGCATGTCCCTCCTGGAAGCCAGTTTCCCCGCTTTGCCATGCTGAAGCCTGTGCCAAATGTCTCCCATAGGTAAACAGCTCTGTTACTATTGCTCACACAGCCTCACATACACTCAGGGAGATCATTCTACCGCACGTACTCATGACCGTTAAATGCACAGTTCGTAGTTGTATATAAGCTCTGTTCTATCACCTTGACACCCAACTTGTCACCAAGCCAGAGAGGTTAAAATTCACTTCTAAGCAATACTGTGGTTACGTAAACTTCCTAGAAATTTAAGATCACATTCTACCTAGCAGCTGAGTCTTCCCTGGAGTAGCTTATACATTTTTTCAGCCACATACTCTTAGTATGCATGTAGACATGGGGAGGAAATAAAAATATATGAATTGCGTCACCAGCTTAATTTTCTCTTTAGTGGATTGGATGTGTGTATGTGGAATGAGGACCCTAGAAAGCCCACACTATTCCCTCTGTTGCTTATTGGAAACAATGCTCATTCTAAGCAATAAAAGGAATGGTTAATGAAGTTTATGTATCATTGGAGCAGATAATTTTACAAGGCTGTGTTCTTAAGGCTCCAGAATTAAGGATTTGACTGTGGGAGCAGGGAGTCTTGGGGGCAGGACACCCCAGATAACCTCACCCACATGCATTCCTCCAACAATGCTTTTCTGTATGTAAACAGAAAATAGAAAGGAGTATATGGTTTTTGTCCTTAGTATTAAATAGCTGCCTTTTCCTCAGCACACTCTTAAATTTCTGCACAATGCACAGCCTTCAGCACCCCAAGGAGCATAAACAAAGGATATCAGGCAAGTTCACCTACTCCCACATCACAGAACAATGCTTGTTGTTAACTAAGCAATTCCCAGGGCAAATGTATGATGTGTGGAGCCCAGAGTAAGTACTCAGGTTGGGTCCTTGGAATCTGAGGTCAGAAGCACGTGGTGCCCGCTCAGTCCCCAGGGCTTTTAGAAAACATGAGAATGTGACCTAAAGTTTGTGCTTGCATCTACACCAAAGACTACTTAGGCATTGAGAGAAATTAAAGCACATTAAAGCCTCAAAACAGCTTATTGTTCATGCTCCAAGATTTAACCTTTTCCTTCTTATTTGCTGCTATGCTTTTCTTCTTATGAGTACTTAGGAATGTCTGCTGAATCACCTAAGATAAATCAAATATATACATAACGTGTGTATGTATAAAATAATCCTGCTAGAGCAGCAAATTATATAGATTTAAAAATTTGAAATTTGAAAAGTCCATTGCCATTTCCTAAATAGAATTATGACTCTTAACCTTTCCCTGGATTCTCAGACCCTGGGTTATATCACAAGACAGAATTTATAATCGGTACTTAATTTGTCCCCAAATATCTGTAACTATAAGCACTTAAAATACAAATGCAAACAAGTGCATGAAAAGATTTCTTTCCTCCTGACTTTTCAGGGAATATTTTGGCTACAGTCACACCCCATAGGTTTATATGATGCTTATTAACATGTAATGGAACTTGGGGGAACAGTTTCTCCCCCTTGTTGTCTGGCTCATGTATAAAAGTGAAATAGGTTACTGTTTCCATTTTTATGAGTATACTATTATTAAGTCATTAAAATAATGAAATAATTAAATTTACTCTTTAATGTTTTTTTTTAATTTATTTATTCATGAGAGTCAGAGAGACACAGAGAGAGAGAGAGGCAGAGGCAGAGGGAGAAGCGGGCTCCCCGCCTAGCAGGGAGCCTGATGCGGGACTCGATCCCAGGACCCTGGGATCATGACCTGAGCCGAAGGCAGACGTTTAACCATCTGAGCCACCCAGGTGCCCCTAAATTTACCCTTTAATAATTACCTATAAAATATTAGAATTGAACCAGGAAAGACAGAAAAAGGAAAAACTATATATGTATACATGCACAATATTTGCATAACTTTAAAGCCATTTGGAAATACCTGAATGCATGAGGTAATTATTTCATAGTATGAGAGTTAGTATAAGGTAAATACAGCCATATGTCTCGGGCTGAATGAAACTGGTGGGTCACCAAAGTTGTTCGGTCCTTTCTCGTACCATAGGCAATGCTAGTGCTAGTCTGTTATTCTAATTGACTTTACGTGAAGCCAACTGGCTAACCCAGGGTCTCTAAAGAATTATTAAATATCTACGTTGTCAGGAAAATTATGTGCTACCAAATTTCCAGTGAGCTTTTGATATTCTAAAAGTTCCTTGGACAGACTTTAAAATAAGTGGTAAAGTTTAAAAAGGGGGAAAAACACGGAAAAAAAGATTTATGAAGAAGAAAGACCAACACCATGGGCACAGTGTAGTCCCACAAACACTCCTACCAACTCTGCTTTGAAACAGAGATTTGAAACTTGCAAAAAGGCTGCTTTGAAAAAAAAGAACCACCAAGTTAGGACATTCTGGGTTAGATGACAGGGACTGATAAAATCCATAGTCTTCCATTCTCACACAAATGCAACAGAACATACATGCCTACTCTCCCGAGCCTCTCCTGGTCTGTTTGCTAAGGAGGAAATGCCTGCCACACACCCACCAGTGGAGAATCATCAAAAAAGTAGAGATTAGTGACAGTCAAACAACAAAAAATAGCTCCCTACCCATTGCCTCCCACTGAATGAACTTTGGACATATCGGCAAACTCTTCTTTCCTCTTACTGCTGCTGGTGTACTGCTCACTGTAGAGCTTGAGGGACATCTGCTCAACAGCATCTCTTTGTGCTTCCAGGTAGCATAGTTGAACCTCAGCCTGGAGAGAGAAACAAAGAGGAACTGCTGTTAATCCAGAAGGAATGCATTTCAAGTGATGTGTAACAACTCAAAGAATGGGAATTGTTCACATCATTATACTGCTCCTTTTTGGGTTGGATTTAATGGGATCAGCTGGGCATAGTACAGAATTATATTTTAGATTTGAATCTTATAAGTTCCTCCTTAAAATACGACCTGAATAAATGAACTCTCAGAAGACTCAGTAAATATCACCAAATATCCCTGAGATCATAATACTGTATGATGAGATTTTACATAAAAATTTTGTGAAATTCCTTAATAATATTCTTCCTCATATTGCCACATATGTAACATTTATTTTTTAAAGATCTCCCTCCTACCCATACATTTGCATGGACACATATTCTGAACGTTTCTCATTATCTTCCCTGAGAAGAATAAAAAAAGCCTAGTACCAATTGTAATAGATCTTTTGTAGTGACAACAGACTTCCTTTATTCCTGTATTATTATCTTAATTTTAAAACAGAAGGAATACTGATTTTGCTTACATGTTGGCTTGAATTGTTACACCTTTTAGAGTTAGTTGGGGCTTACTGTAGTAAAGAGAGGTAGTAAGTTCACCATGCTGTTTTCTATCAAACCAAGGCCAAAAGAATGCTGAATGATATTTGGCATGGAAATGTATTGAATAAATGCTTTATTTATTGCAGCTGTTGTGATCCCTGTGGCTTTAGGGTTCCCCAGAACACCAGATGAGACCAGGAATGCTTGCCCATGGTAACAGGGAGGGAGAAATGCTGAGTTCGTATGCACTGTGGAGCAAAAGAACTCTTCTTTCTTTTGGCCCTACTTCACTAAATCCAAGCACGTCTGTTCACATTTCTGATAAGACTTAAAACTGCTACTTCTTTCTAATTTAATTGCATATTGTGTTAAAAGCAGTTCTGGGTCAGCTGTTGGGTAGTTGCCAGAATTCTATAATGTTGAAGAAAAGCCAAGTCAGACATGACCTTCTGCTTTTTGTGAGCCACCCAAGGCCTTTTGCCTCATCTCTGGCTTTATAGACTTGACCATGGAAGAAAAAACCCCCCCAAAAAACAGTGTTATAAAGTGGCAGCTGCTTAAAAGAGCAAATCAGGACTCTGTAAATGAAAAGGGTGATTTATGAAATGTATGATCTCAAGCCATTCTGGAGTTCCTATGTTGTTGCCTTCTACAAGCAGCTAATTATGAATTCTGTAGACTATGGAGGAAGAACTTCCAAAAAATGTGAAAATTACTATATTCTTATCATTGAAGTTTCAGAAATCAGTTAAAAACTGTAATCTGTGTTTGGTTTATGTGAATTTTTCTTGCCCAAACTAATTAGTAACACATAGTCAAAGAACTGAAAAACAATAATCCTCCCAAATGCCAACCCTTTTCTACCTTTCCCCTCAAGACTGTATGGATAATGTGGAGATCATCCCACATCAAGTATTCTATTGAAAACCCCATTTGAATAGTGTATCTCCACCATTTGGTGCCAAAAGCCATGTTTGATCCCTAGAGGTTCTCATTAATTTTTAACCAACCTAAGGCAACAAGCTGGACCACTCCTTGTTCTGGATAATGATCTCACAAACGTGTGCCACTGGTCACAAGAAGAGTCATCAAGAGTGAGGTCAACTTAATGTAGACATCACTACGAGGGAAAAATAATTGGAACTCATCCCTTTGAGATCCTAGGCTGTTTCTGTGTACAAAAGGACACACCTCTCATATGACAGGGATTCATGGAAAAGAGTCCAGAGAACAATGCTGAGAGCAACTTGAAAGATAGTTAGTCACCTTATGAAAATGATTGAAATGTTTCAATGTAAGACTTTTATTGCACAATATCTCAAGGCATTTGACATAGGAAACTTCCCTGCACTAACAAAGAGATGAATTAGATGGCCCAAGTCTTTCCTCTCCATCTCGATTTCTCTCTCTGCTTTCAGTGATTCATTCTTAAATGTGATGATAAAAATAGAACCAAAGTAGCTCCTTCTGCTAAGGTTGAATGGCTTTGCCAGTCTAAATCTCTCTGCAGACTGGTTAAATTTTTCTCATACATTATATCTTAGTCTGATGATAAATTTTTAGGAGGAAGATTTGAAGAAAATACACTTCTTTAAAAAATAGTAATACTGGATCTCTGACTAAAAGGATTTTATTTATTAGCACTTATGATAGTAGTGGACATTTCTGGACTATATTTTACAAATAGTAGCTCAGTTGATTAAATAACATTCCTGCTGTGTTATCAGCAGAATTGGCAACTTACTCATTAAGGAAAATAAAAAGGAATAAAAAAGAATAGATTCAGTGACAGATCAGTCTGTTACTTCCTGGTCAGAGAGGCCCAGGGTGCCATCAATGGGAGTAGGTGTATAAAAAGAGCACTGTGGATGAGTGAAACAGATGAGCTGGATTTGAGTCTTTTGGTTCAAGGGACTGTTGGAATACTAAAATGAGATGTTCAGTAAGCAAGTGGAAATATTAAGCCCGATATATAAACCTAGAAGCAACAGTTGACATTAGGAGATGAAATGAGAATGCCATGGGAGAGCGTAAATGATGACAGAAAGAGGATCAGCTCTCACTTATTCTACTCGAGGTCTGCATTACCCCTTGGCTGACCTAATGTGATGGATTCTCTACCATTCTCCCTCTTTCCTTCTCCACCATCCCCAAATCTGTTTTACAGATGCTTCATTGATTGATTTCTGAATCATAGCTGAGATCACTGGTTATTGTGGCTTCAGGGCTTAATTCTGGACTGCTTTTCTTTATTTATACTATTTTCCATGGCTTTCAATGCAGTCTATGTAGTAATGGCTTCCAATCTTCTCCTCTGAGCTCCATGCTTACATATCTAACCTAACCACCTGACATTGCTACTTGGATTTATTTTAGGCAGAAGAATTCAAAACAGAACTCTCAATTCTCATCGTCACCACACCCCCCAGGACTTCCTGTACTTAGGTCTTTCCTTTCAAGCAAATGGCACCATGTGTTGCTCAGGTCAGAAAACTGAAAGCCATCCTTAACTCCTCCTTTTCTTATTTCCCACAGCCATTTACTCTAAATTTCATTGATTCCTCTCCCAAAATGTCTCTCCAGTCTGTCTGCCCAATCTGCATTCCTGCCAGCCTCGTCCAAGCCTTCATCCCCTTTCCCCTGTGGTACAACAATTATCTTCTAACGTGCGTCTCTCCTCATCCATTCCTGCCCCTCCAACCCTCCTTTACAGTGGCCACAGTGGTTTTTATAAAACATAAGTTGGTTTCATACTGCATTCAGACAAAAATAAAAAAAACAAAACAAAACCCAAAAACTTCCATGCCCCAAGAGATTTGGTTCTTGCCTACCTCAGATGTCATTTTCTACTTGTCTCTGTCTTGATTCACCATACCCTGTAATCCCTGCCTATTTTCAGTTCTTTAAACAGCTCTTTCCTGTCTCAGGACCTTTGCACATATTATTCTCTTTCTCTGGAACATTCTCTTACTAATGTCTTCTCGTCTTTCAGCTCTCAGTTGACATTTTATCTCTCAGAGAGGCCTTCCCTCACCACCCTATCAAAGGTAGATTCACTCTATTTTTTTTCTTTTTTGGAACAGTGTTAATTTCCTTCCCCGAACATAACACAATTTAAAATTCTTGTATTTACTGGTTTATGCTTTTTCTGTCTCTGACTCCAGACTCCTAGCTCCATAATGAGGCTGTGTCTGTCTATCTCCTTTGCTATTTTGTATTCCCCACACCTTGGCAGTATCTGGAACATAAGAAGGGCTCAGGAAATAATTGTTGAGCAACTGAATTGTACATCCATACCTCCATCCATTTATTACTCATATGTTCATTGAGCCTTTATCATGTGTCAGGAACTGCACCAGGGACTGTGGGTACAAAGAAGAATAAAACAAGAAGGGACTACTTTTCCCAAGGGACTACAGTAGAGTGGAGGAAAGAGTTATGCCAATAGATAGCTACAAGTATGCCAAGTGAAATGAATGTGGGGGAGGATGGTAATTAAAAAAATAGTTGTCTGAAAGTAAGGAATGGGCAATAAAAGCTTGAGAGAGGTGGCATCTGAACCAGATCTGGGAGTATGGGTAGATTTTGTCAAGTGAAGAAGCAGACAGATATCTTTATAGGCAGAGTAACTTGTCTGTTCAAAGGCCTAGAGTCATGAAAGGATGCGGCATGTTCAGGGAATGGTGGCTGGAGCTTTGGGGCATTTGGATGAAGAGTCTAACAGTGAAGGGGATAGGCTGTAGAGGATGTCAGGTTAGGAAATTTGGATGCTATGTAACAACATGCCAGCAGAAGATGTCACTGTTTCTGTGATGACCTTCATCTATTTCCATCTCCCTTTTTCTGTCATGGCAAGAGACTCATCTGATGGGTTAGTCCAAATATGCTCATAATGCTCCTACCTCCTGATATACTTTGAGAACACTGCATTGAGAAGGGAATCAAATTTCCATCAGGCCAGTGTCCCAAATAAATGCCTAAGAGGTTCTAGTAACTTATACCTCTAGTAAACCTTTAATATAATGTTATTGACTGAGTCCCCCCTCCCTCCCAATTCATACGTTGAAGTCCTAACCCTCAATATGACCATATTTCGAGATAGAGTCTTTAAGGAGGGAATTAAGATTAAATGACATCACAAGGGTGGGGCCCTAATCCAATAGGAATGGTGTCCTTATAAGATGAAGAGTATCACACAAAGAAAAGGCCATGTGAGTTCACATCGAGAAGGTGGACATCTCCAAGCCAAGGAGTGATGCCTCACCAGAAACCAAACCTGCCAACATCTTGATCTGGGATTTTCAGCCTCCTGAACTGTGAGAAATAAATTTCTGTTGTTTAAGCCACCCAGTCTGTGGTATTTTGTTATTGCCATCCTAGCAGACTAATACTCATAATAAAGTTAGAAACACTGCCTTCTCATCTGAGGTTGAGTATTATTCCTCCACTG